ACACATTTTCCAGTCTTTTACAGCACATTAACAAAATTACTGGAAAAAAATTGTACCACCACGACCAAAGATAGCACACAATTTTGAAAGGGAGATCCAACACCAGGGAGCAGTTTTATTTAGGAAACAATTGTACCGAAAGACAAGATGGATACAGATTAATTAAAATAAGACCTTTAAAATTCATGGTCACAACTCCAAATTGCTATCTATGCTTCGTTTAATATGATGTAAAAACTGCTTATGGAATGTTAAGCCTACGCACAAGACACACACCACCTTCCTAATCAACATTCTATTAATTTCTGGTTGTATTAAAACAAACAAAAAACCAAACTGACAACCAGCACATGATTTCACCTCTTTAAATAGGATTCTAAACAAAGCCACTTTAGATTGGCTTCCACGTATCTAAATGTTTTAAAAAATTAATGTGATGAGGTGGAATCGCCTCCTTCTTAAAAATGTGTTTCTAGAGCTACTAAAAAACTGGCATTTACAAAATAGTTGATAAAAATATTCCTCTGAATTGTACAAGAAGGGAGGTAACAGGGACAATTGTTAAAAGACTTGGTATAAGATGTTATTCAGATTTGGTTTCTTTCTCTCCTGCTGAATCAGAGACTGGAACCTGGAAAGAACATAAAACAAAAAATTATAAAATTGCTCATTATGTTTGATATTTCCTGCAATATTTCCAAATAAATTAGTAGTATGGATAAAATCAAAATGTCAAGAGATACATCAAATTGGATATTGCAAAGTCACCTCAATTTCACAATGTCCAAAACCAAACTCATCATCTTTTGCCTCAAACACACCCCTCTACCAAACTTGTCTGTCTGTCAAAGGCACCAGGATTCTTCCAGTTTCCCAGGTTTGCAATCCAAATTATCCTTCACTTATCATTCTTCCTTACCCTATGTAGTTAATCAGTAGCCAGATCTTGCCATTTCTCATTTCCTATGTCTTCCATCCAAACCTTTCTATTTATATATCCACTGACTTAGCTCCAGCCCCATTACCTTTCATATAGATTATTGCAATGGCCTCCTAATTGGTCTCCTGCCTCAAATGACTACCTGCTCCAATCTATCTACAGTTGCCAAAGTGATTTCCTTTAAGTCTAGAATTGACCCCATAACTTCTCTACTTCAATAAATGCTGGGACCTCCCATTGTCTCTGGGATCACCTACAAACAACTTTGGCTTTCAAAGCTCTTCACAACCTAGCCTCAACCTATCTTTCTAGCAGTTCCCTTTCTGCACTGATCATCAAGCTAAACTGGCCTTCCCTGTTCCTCACATCCTCACACATGGCACTCCATCTCCAATCTCCATTACCATATTCCAGTTTTCTGTGGGAAATGCCCTCCCCTCCCCACCTCCACCTTACTGAATCCCTTTATTCCTTCAAGATGCAGCTCAAGTGCCATGTTCTACAGGAAACCCAATTTGTAATATCCACCCTCCCTAAATACTGTGCATTCACTTCATATTTATTCTCTACAGATCTACCTATGTACAATGTCTCCTCCAAGACAATCTAAGGTATTTAAATTGAAGAATACAATATTTTCTTATAGTGAGATATTTAGTGTGGATTGGGAGCCAGAGTTCAAATCTTGGCTCTGCCACTTATCACCTGTATGACCCTGGGTAGAACATTTATTCTCTCTGGGTATGTTTCCTCAACTGTAAAAGGACAGGATTGGCCTAGAGGATCTTTTCTGTCTCTGAATCCATAGCATTTATACTGGTGAAATTCTGTCCATAAGCAAATATTCTAGCTCAGTCACCTAAATTTATGATGACTAAGTGTGCACCTGAAGATATAATTTTATAAAGACTAGAAACTGTGACGTTGAGATCTGTTTACCTTATTTTATAGTGGAGCTGTTTTTTATTAACCAGAAAAATTGCTATCTGAGAAAGTCAAGGCATATGGCAAAGAATAAGTACTGACCTCTTCATTTTTAGTTTCTCCATTTTCTGCAGGCAAGTCATCTTTATTCTCCTCTTGGTTAGTAGCTTCTGCTTGTTTTCCTTTTGCTCCTTTTTTTCCTTTTGTGTGAACTTTTTTGTCCTCGGATTTATCCTACAGACATATTAAAAACAGTGCTTTACATAATCAATACATCTTTCTAGGTATTAAACATTGTCCTTTCATAGCTCAATTTCTACACTGCATACTAATCTGAATTACATAATAAACTTTTTCCAAGAGCAAAAACCAACTTCTTCCATGAATCCAGGATATTCTAAGGAACTTTTTTTAAAGTGCTGATTAATAATAGTATCACAGTAAGTTTTTAGTACTTAAACATTTTGTGTATAAAACACTCAAAACTTTTGCTTTATTTTCTAAATTATCAAGTTCTTATCCAAAGCACATATATAAAAAAAAAGATATCCATCTTTTAAATCCTCAATAGTCAGGAGAAGGAGGGGAGGGATTGGGTCGATGAATTCTAATTATCTACTCTCTTCCTGCTCCTTGGAGATTAACCAATTACTTCTATTTTTTAAAAACCTAATCTTTCTATAAAAAAAGTTTTTTATCCTCAATTTTGTACTTTTTAAAGACTCTTTAAAACAAAGTTTGCCATTGGAATAGTTAACATGAAAAATAATTCACTTTACTATATCTGTCAAATCCATTTTTCTTCTTTTTTAGCATATCTTAAGGAATAAGCCAATACAAAAGTAACATTTCAATAGTTCATAATGAAATCCAACAAAGAATCAAGATAGAAGTTTTACAATCACTGAAAATGTTGACCTTTCGATCTTAATTTCTTACCCTGAGATCACTTAATAGTCAAAAGCAAAAGTAATAAATTTATATTTTTATTATCTCTATTTAGGTGTTTGAAAATTTGGCAGCTATAGACAGGAAGCCCCATCTGATTTTTACTTAAACGAAAACATGAAACTTAAGCGGTTTTAATGAAGTATAGTATTATAATTCATCTATGGCTAACTTGAGTAGAGATAAGATTCATATTTTAAGAGTTATCCAAGTTTAGTAAGTGAATTCTCTAAAAATTTCCTATAATTCCCAAACACACACCAATGAAATGTTTCCTCTAAAAGATGGACTGCATTCTTAAGCTTCCTTTTACCACAATCCAAATGAAGTTTGTATGTGTGTTTATGTGGGACAAATTCAACATTGCCATAGGAAAAAAATAAACAAAAAAA